CGTGCCTAACTTGCCAACAAGTAATTATTGACCCGTCAAAGACTCATCCTAGTTGCTATGACATGAAAATCTAAACAATATAAATCACTTGTCTACTTATTAAGGACCTCATAGATTGGCATAAAAAGAAAGAAGAGCATTACATACCTGTAAAAGAAGGAAACAGGTGGGCACTTGTAGGGCATGTGTTGGGGTCGATGTAAAGCATGGGGTCAGAGTGACTCAGATCAAAGACTCCACACATGTGACCACACTGCCTTCCAGGAAACATTACATATAAACACCTGCTACTTCCTCTCTACAGCCGTTTCCTGTCCATCACCACTCCTACACTGAGCAGTTGTAGGATTCCACTGTACTAGCAGCAAGCACAACCATAAAAAATGGGGGGGGGCATGTTCTTGAGATAAACAATGTGTACCTATTTCAGGCCCCTACACTTACAATTGCTTTCATCAATATATTACTGATGTACATTGTACATGTATCATTTGGTGATTTGATGAAGCGCTTTGAGATGTTAGTGTGAATGCACTTTACAAAAACTGTATTGTTATTATTATTATAATTAATGAACGTTGATAATGCCCTCGCCTCCATTCTCCTGAGCCGGTCTTAAATGCATGTTTAAGACTGGCCATCCACATATTTATTCCCTTATAAATCAGTCATATGAAGTATAAAATGTAAATGTGACCCACCATCCCAACACCAGGCTGAAGTCAGTAACTTCATAACCTCAAAACAGTGGAACCTCCACTGTTGAGATTTTCATGGGAGTCTTACAGCTATCACCACCCGTAAGAAGCTTACTGCAGACAGAATTTCGATTTAACGTGGATCACTTCAAGTCTAAAAAAAAATAAGAGAAATTGTTCAACATCACAGATACTGACTTCAGCCTGGTTTTGGGATGGTGGGTCACAAATAAAAGTTACAAGTCAAAATAAACAAAATGCCAACCCAGACACATACATGTAGACTAGACAATCATGAATCAAGCTCAAATGGGAAAGACGTACGTGTAACTTAACTGTAGGAAATTTATATTATCAGTGGGTGCATGTTTTCTCCTCGTCTTGATAATTTTGCACTTTAAAACCAAGTGTCCACAGTTTAGACCAATCACCTTACACGTGTAAATCATCCTGGAGAACATTTCAGTCATCAGTAGACTTAATTCCCCGATAGGCAATCCAGTCATCTGCATAAAATCTCACTGCTTGAGGCGTGACATCAAATTGCAGACAGTTCAGAACCGGACCTGGTATGCTAAATCCTTTCCAACCGAACCGGTATGAAGCCAGATGCAGCCTGCTCATCACTGAAGTGTGAAACCCCCCCCCCATAAGTCTGAACTGGTGACTAAGAATTTGAACACTGGCCATTTTGGGAGGATTAGTTTGCCCGGTGGGCTCACTGTGGAGTGGAAAGAAGAGGATTAAACATGTCCCTAATTGCTTTTTATTGTGATCAGTCAGAGTGTGACACAGAGACCCAGTGGAGTTAATCCAGGCCAGTTTGGTTCAATCCAAAGTCCCAATCCCTTTTGAGATACCTAGCGGCCTCACCCCAGACAGTCGGGGAAGTGATTCTAATTTGATGATAGGCATTACTGTCTTTGATCAAATAATTGAAGAGAATAGGGCTGAGGATTTTCCCTTGGGGGACACCTGACTTGACGGCAATCCAGTGGGAAAGTTCCAAATTCAGAATGATTCTCTGCATTCTACCTTCTAGAGAATTCATTACCCATTTCAGGTTACAGTCTCCAAACTGAAAAGCATTTAGTTTCTTGGAAGTACATGTGCCTAGTGTTGCCAATAAACCATAGCAGCAGCTGCAGAAAGGGTACAGGTTGGCTGGAGAGGGAATAATTACTGAAAAAAGAGATGACTGACAGAGTTCTCTCCAAGGGCCTTCATGATGAAATCTTTGTTATATCATTGTGTTTCCACAGCATCCAATCACGCGCTTCCTTAGCAGGCACTTTGTAAATACGCCACAGCAGGAGTACGAAAAGATGGCGCATTTCCTTGCCATCGAGCAGGAGAAAATTGAGGCCAGGTGAGAGCTCCTTCCTTTCCAAATCCATGCCCCACCCATTTCCCCATTCCTCAGAGACATCTTTAACCACTTCTGCCGGGGAGCCGGGTTTTGGGCACTGTGTGTTTATACGCGTGGCCGGGGTATCTGAAATCGGACAAAGGGAACTGGGCTTTTAACAAAAGACCGTACTCGGAACAAAAGACCAGGCTGCTGGGCATTACCAACATTTTTTCACTCTCAATATTGGAGAAAATCCAGCCTTGTTTTGAAACAGTATACCACAGTTTGGGGCATTTATTGCGAGCGGATTACCACCGGTGACAAAAGCGCTCCACCACCGCAGCAGTGAGCCACACAGAACCGCTGCATGCTAATCTGGCCCCTATTGAAAAGAGGTCAGCAGTGCACTGAGCCAGGTTCGTGAACAAAAGAAAGTTATAACACCGCACAATCTGGGCCCTTTTTACAAGGCTGCAGGCCTAGCTGAAATACTCAGGCATCAATAGATTTTGTCTGTCAGGGTAGAGTGGCCACCAGACAGTAATTCATGTGGGAGCAAACGTCCATTAATTGAAATGATGAATTTTTGAAGAATTTTGAAAACTGAAAATCTTGAAAAAGTCCTGATTATGTGCACTGCATTTTTCAAACCACCCGGCAGCAAGTGGTTAAGCAGAAATTTTCATTAAAACCCACCATAATCAAAGGCCGTATCTAAATGTTACAGCCGTGACTGGATATAACACATACTGGTATTTGTGCCAAAGAGAAGCATACATTACATTACATTACATTGTACATACTTCAAGCCACAGGTAGTTGCTTCACAGCGCAACATTGTGCAGTAATATACATGTACATGTATATCACTATACACACACTGACAATTGATTTTTTTTTTCAGGAAAGCTGAGAAGACAGTGAAGCGACTGATGCATCAACGAGGCGATGGCCATTGGTATTACTACCCAATTGAATCACCAATGGAAGCACACCAAAGTGAAGAGCTCAAAGATTAATTACACCAGAATAAACGTGTTAGGAAATAGGAATATTGGTTTTTTTTCCACAATGAAATGGTTTCATTCTGTGGTAAGCCTGTTTGTGTGATCTGCCACCACGGGAAGAATTCAGTGAAAATGATAAAACTAAGGAGGCTTCAAGCTTGGATGCCTCGTCTGGTGCATGGTTTCACATGTGTATAAATTGTATTAGAGAATTCAGGCTTCGTGCAACTGGACCATCAAATCCTCATCAAGAAACTGAATCAACCTTTAGTCGGCAGACAATGTGCTCCTCTAGTCCCAAGTCTTTTTTCCCCCCTATTTGCACTGCTGCACAGCCCGCATTGTAGGACCAGGGAATTGTCGTTGTGTAGGGAATATTGGATGGTGTTTTCAGGCGCCAGAGAGTGAAAGGATTCCTTTCAGGCATGCACAGTTGTCTCATTCTCAGCGCTCATGCATCTTGCTCAAAAATTGGTAATGGCCTTCCATGTACAGTCGAACCTCACTATTAAGAGGATAACTGGAACCCTGTATTATCAAGAATAAAATTAATGAAAAACAAAGGAATGAGATCTAAAAATGTCCTTGTTTTAAGCAGAATCTTGTTTTAACAGTGCTCCTATTAACGAGGTTCGAGTGTATAAGTCTTTTTTACCCCAAATTCAGCAGTATCCAACTAAAGAGGTTTCTACAGAGAGGGGTCCCAGTCACCAGTACAAAACTGCCTGGGATACTTGGTACGCTTGGAGAGCATGTAATGGATGTGGTTACACATTTAAACAGTAAAAAATTGCTTTTCATTCTTTTTTGTTTGGAGGGGGACAAGTCGAGTGTGCTGCTTGAGAAAAACCACCTTTTGATGGTGAACATCTCTTAATCAGATTAGTTCTATTTGTCAAACTGTTTTACTTCATTTAATGCAAAGAAATGTAATTACATGTATCTGCACTACTCGTAATGCTTTTAACCAAAAGCTGCCTTCATTCTAAAAAAAAAGAAAAACATCCTTATAATTACTTTAAAAACCTGTCTTTGTATATACAGGTTGCACCTACTTCCTCTGCAGAAATCCAGGTCAACAGGCATAATTATGGATTTTTGTGCAGCATGACATCATTTAGGATGTTCTTGTTTACTTACTAGTAGCTTACATGTACATGCAATGGTCAAGTTGTGAGACTTTGGAAAAAGCACATGTATATACTGCAGTGACAGTCTATTATCAAATGAAAACTAGTAATGGAGAAACTGAAGTGTGGTGTTATGTTTGAATAAAGTTTACAGTTTAACACAGCTGTCTTTCCATATTTTTCACTAATGTGATATTTGACCGCAGTTTTGAACTCAAGTATGAGTATATTTTCTTGGGCAGAGGTACATTATTATCAAGTTTCATAGAAGAGGAATTTACTAAGGCCCAAAAATGTCTCTGGTTTCTGGTCAGGGGCTGGCTCCAAAAGTGATGTGGTAACGTGGCCTTTTTTTAATTTATTTTTTTGGCCGCTACTTTTTTCCTAGAAATGATGCACACATGTGCATGTACGTACCACTGCAACCAACTCTGAAATAGATTGGCCCCCTCACTGTTTACTATTTAAAAACATTTTCAGCTTGTAGATGTACACAGGACATAAGATCACCTCATTTGTCTGGTTCCCAGATGTAAGTAAATGTATAATACAGAAAGGACGTCATCTGGGAAAAAAGAGTGCTTGACTACATGTACACTGTACATGCATGGAGGCCTGAAGGGATGTACTCATTTAGTGTACATATTACTCAACTGTACCCCATCCAAACCACTTTAACATTACGCAGTAGCAGGATTCCTGTCAAGCAAGCAAGTTTGACAGCTTCTGGACATCATATCAACAGGTGCACTGACCAGAATCTGGAGACTTTTGGCCAATTGATGCCTATAGTTGTACATAACAAAATACCCTCACTTCATTACCTGTGCCAAGAAAATGTAGGAAACTTTTTTGGGTGTATTTTTCCAATACGGCTCCTGGTAAAATCAATTCAGAACGTAAGGCCCATCTATCCCCCCTCCCTTCCTTTCAACAGTAGAAAGCAGCCTAATGAGTGCCCTAGCCCCCTCTACTTTGTACAGAGCCACCTAGAGATCGCTTTTGGCCAATCTCTCACAAATGCATCATTGATTAGATACAATAGTTGCCTGGCTACGGAGTGAGCCAATATTTGCTGTGTGGCTGAGGGTCAATGCAATAGCTTGGCACTGTACAAATACAATGTAATAGCCAAACTCTCAAGGAAGGGGGGTATGTGTCCACAATTCTGATCTGGCCAAGAGCAAGATCTTTTTCAGGCCTTCTGCCTAGGCATGAAACTAATTAAGATTTGCGAAAATGAAACCTGCTTTGCAATGTTTATGATATATGAGTGACTGCATTAGCTGTTCACAGGTGGACAAGAAAGTACATGAATCATAATATTTGACATGTATATGTAGCTGCAAAATTGAAATTCAGCAATCAGTTTCAAATTCATAATAGATATCCTTTGAGATGCCAGATAAAATGTGTATTCAGAAAACCAGAAGCGGGAAAATCAGCGACTCCCAACCGGAATGACTTTAGTACACTGCACATGTAACCACAGGTTATTGGGTACATCTACTGCAAAAAGTACAAACTTCCTACAGTCCAAGAAATACAACTTCCAAAGTATTTCTTTTTCCCTCTGACTGTGCCATGGGCATACAAATGATTCTTTTCCTTGAAGACCAAACTTTGTAAACCAATCTGTGATCTTAGCAAACTAAACTGGGAAAGAGAGAGAGTCGTCGGTATTGTGATGCTGTAACCAAATAGTGTACACGTATATAGCCTAAAATGAAGTCTTGATAAAACGTTGGTTCTAAAACATTTCCAGAGAGAAGAAAATACATATTGACAAATGAACCAAGAAACTGATTTGAGAATAAAACACTTCAAGCTCACGCAGGTGTTTTTTATCCGACTTCCATCATTTAATTTGCATATTGGCAACAAAACAATTGTTGTTGGCAAGTTGCCAAGAAGCAAGGAAAACCCAAATGCAGCCTAGCATTAAACAGCACAGTTGTCAAGGTTTTTACTTCCACATAAGAAAATACCACAACGTGTGGAAGCTCCAATGAAAAGAATGACCTTCATGTTAAAAATCAACCTTACAAACATCGAAGGTGCAACAGTAACAGTGAAAACTCCAGTAATTCATCATAATGAAGGAAGGTGGCACTGTCACAGAGGAGTCTCTTGCTAAAATGAAGTAGCACAAACAACCATTTTAGAATGATCTCATTGCAATTGCATAGGTGTTTGAAGATAGGGGAACAATGTAATTTTCCCCAACACATCATGCAAGTCAAGGGCAGAGCCTGCAGCCAAAAACAGGTGTAGAGGGTCAAAAACAGAAGTGTGAAAGATCCAGGGGACCAACTTACTTCAATGCCAATGTCATCAGATTTCTTACTGGATATCAACCCTTTCCTCTGCTGTGTACACAACCCGGGATCCACCCCTAAAAGAGTCTGTTCAAAATTTCCAGAAGTTGTTGCAGAACAGAGCATCAGACTGGAGCACCAACATGTTATATCTGTGACAGTGCATGAATGTTCGTGTCTGGCTGCCCTACATGTACATCAACCTGGTGGGCATATGGATGTGTAACTGAATATCCAACAATGTGCTCCCTTTTCTGCAAGCACTACCTGAATACCAAACTGAAACTCACTACAGAGAACAGGACCAGGACCTGAATATGCATTGCTACTTGGGAGTCTTCCATCTTTGTGTTGCAAATGACTAAATATGCTACTGTATAAACAAAATCTGAACAATGTAAAAAGGATTTTACATGTACCATATCTTCATAGGCTATACAAACATACTGACAGTAAAATGAACACCTTTCACTGAAACACAACTACATAAACATGATGTAATAATTATACTTTAGTAGATTGAATACACACACTGTTTTAATCAAGGTATTTTACAAACTTTTAAGATTGCAATGTGCAAAACATACATGTAGATTACATATAAATTTAGATAACGTGTAAGAAATAATTAACATGAAATTGTTATTTTTACTTGGACAAGTATAACATCACATCTTTTGACTGATTCATGCAATGCACTTATTGTGACTTTCAGAATAACTGGTTTTTAAAGAGAATCATGTTGTCTCCATCAGAATATTAATTATCACGTATTGACTCATTAACATGTTACATGTATATTGATACCGGCTTAAATCTACGGTCATAGAAAGCCAATCTGCATAAAACCCTTTATATGGGTAAAAATGCTGCATCTTGAGAAAAGGTCCTTAAACTGTCAGCTACCACAGGGTGCTGAGAATACTTTAGGTAGTTTCAAAGTTGAATAATTCTGTTAAGAGTTGATTTTAGCAAAGAAGCTTTACACGAATCAATGGAAAAGACAGAATTTATGCGTAAGTGTGACTAGTCCATGTTTATTAAACTAACTTACCCCTGAAAGTGGCTACTGCAAAAGAGAGTTCCTGTCCTCCCTGGCCACCATGGGAATACATGTACAATTGGTACAATGGACAACAACAACTTCAAATGTTTAATTAGTACAGGTCACCTGTGGCATGCTTAGGCTACTTTCAGAAATTGCATCTAATTTGAATACCATATTACGAATAGATATGACTTGGTAGTTTTTCACGCAAGATGTATACACAATCCTACTACTTGCTAGTTTTCATTTCAGAATTCTGTCAGACCCCTACCCCCCCTTCCCCGGAAATGTCTGTCAACTTCATTTCTACCAAAAGTACTTTTCAACATCCTGTATGTTACAGTATGAATGTAGTTTCAAATGTTAATCATTGTCAGCTAATAACTACTGAAGATTGCAGGAAAAGGTAATGCTTGACACAATACATTATGCAGAATAAAAAACTGTGACGTGGGCACTTTGACAATGTGAAGGCTTGTACTTCAGGGATATGATCCAATGGAACTTGGAGAGAAAAACGGCAGGACTTCAAATTCAAGTCCATTCACATGTACTCTGCTCTGTGCCCACTCATTCTTCCATCTCTCCACCAAGTCTAGATCTTAGTGGACTGATGGCTCAGCTTATTATGGCTTCGACCAAGACTCTGGGCTTTGTCTTATCGAAAATACTGTCAACCATCCAACGGTAAAAAAAATGCTTGAGAATGGCCTATCACATGCACATTCAATGCCCATAATGGTATGCCCTGCTCACCCACGGTGTGAGCACATCCTGTGTTGTGTGTACCAAGACATAAACACATAAACCACTAGATTGCATTCAACAGTACGTGAACATTTTGTGATCTGTAAGGTCCCTGACTAAAATCAAAAGTATCGACCAATTCACTCCTCGGTACAGTGAATTCACACAGTGGAAGAATTCCAGCCATCAAAATTTATAGTTTTCGATTGTAAAAAAAACATTCTGTTTTTAATCTAGCCCACGTACATTCAAAACAATGTGGTTGCACCATTTGAAGCAAAGAAATGTCAGTGCTGAAGAACAAAAAGTGAACTTTTTGAGGGCACAGGTAAACAAATACAGGCAATGTGCTAGCATACTGTACAATGTATGTACATGTAAGTGCGTTACACGCAATGGGCACTGAACGTGATTATAAGCGCTGCCATCCATTGCTTTCCCCATACTTTTCAAAATCACATGTGCATAAGACTGACGGTCAATGCGTTTGTCTGTGGTTGTGTGCAGGTATGTACACATGTCTACATGGACAAGGTGCAGAAAGCATGCATGCCTGCACGTACTTGACTACACCACACACTGCTTCACTACGCATCTACCGCTAGAAAACTGGTCCAGACCCAATGGCCTCTTGACTCAGCAGGCCAGGGATGGCTGCCACATGACAGGCATGCACATGGATGCATGGCAATATTGATGTACCTGTAAATAGGGTTGTCGAGTGTGCTCATACATGCACATGTAGTGTGGATTGCTCAAGTACCACGTGGGGCTTGGTATGCCATGAATCTAAATGTACATGGTGGCTCAGACTCTAGCTATGGTTGCCTGCGTATGGCCCAAATCTTTCCTTTGGACAACTGGTGGTGGTGGTGGTGGGGAGCAGTGAGGTCATTGACCTCCCACTTTTCCGACTGGGGAACAAGCCCCCCTCCCAATTTCTGCAGGTCCTCTAATGGGGTGGGGCTTAATGGATCAGCCTATTGATGGCCGATGTCTGATGGTCTAACAACTGGCCCCTCCACTTTGAAAACTGTTCCACTGCCATTGCAAAAAGCCACTCAGACCAACTTGGACAAGGGTCAGCATACCACAGATGCAGACAGTACAAAAAGCCGTTATTCTAAGAACGCCCGTTTTTCACCCTCCAATGCAACATTGAAACTAGCTGCTTCAGCTGAAAATTTCAGGCCAGTTGAATATCTTTAATTTTTTTACAGGCACTTGAAATAAGAGACACACAGTCATCTGCCAGTCACTTACCAGTATTTGTAAAATGAAAACATCAATATTTTGTTGAACTCACACTTTACATGCGCACAGAAGTATGTCTTAATACACAGATGTACATGTACATAGCGAATCATTTACAGAATCCTTATTTCATTAAACATTTTACAGCATATACATGTATTCTCTGTAACTGTTCTCACTTCTCAGGCAATCAAGCCTTTTATCAGTTTTCTACAACTAATATGACAGCATAATATCAGGGCATCTTTTGTACCATGTTACAAGAGCCTACACTCAAAGTCAGTGATGGTTACAGGACATTTCCTCCTTGCTACGAATAGACATTTTACTGTGGAAACTTAGTATTTAAAAGAAAAACATACTTCTTATTCTTAAAATAACCAAGTTAATTAAAAATTCATTAATTGATTTAAAATTTCCTTTAGTGATGAATTTTTAAATCAATTAATAAATTATCTAATTCAGATTTAAACAAATTCAGTGTTCAACTTTAATTCTGAACACATTCAAACCTACATGTACATGTATAAACTTGACACATGGACAATATCAAGCATTTCATTGCCCTCAGATTAAGACTGCAAGAGGTGAGCCTCTTGTGGTGAAACAGAATATTTCATGCAATCTTTGACATGTATTCATATAGCCCCTTCCCTTTCATCTCCATACAGCCATTATGAAGGCCTGTGGGGTCTTTGTGATCTTTATTTCAAGGTGCATTGCATATTCATGAGTATATGCAGACGAGTGATGTCATCCAACACGGTGGCAATAGAGTTACAGGTCCTCTCCAGCGTAAGTCATGAGATATACCAGTCATGAGATATACCAGTCATGAGATATACCAGTCATGAGATATACCAGTCATGAGATATACCAGTCATGAGATATACCAGTCATGAGATATACCAGTCATGAGATATACC